GCTAAAAACCAGCACGCTGATTAGTACATCTAACTGTGAAACCTATTGTGTCGGCTTACATGATTAGAATTAAAAAATATTTCATATAAGCAGGATCTCCAGAATGCTTCTAAAGTTATTTATCTGGCCAGTTTTGCAGCTGGGACTCATGCTTTCAACCGTTTGACATGTCAACCAAGCGGCAATTGCTAAACTCAGCAAATAGTCCAAATCCCCATGGTCTGCTGGAAAGTTGCCTGAAAAATAAAAAAAAAAAAGTGCATTTGCATCTCTTTGGTCTAACAATGCTGTAATGCTTTAACCAATTGAAAATAAACACCTTGGATAACATAAGCCCTGCAGCAAAATGTGTACACATCTCAGAGGATGGTTAATTATTAGCTGCCTGTCAGGTAACTTGTGTGTTTGAAAAAAATTCAAAACATCCACCTTTTGTTTAAAAAGCAGCATTTCATGCTTCACAGGCCAGTGATTGCAGATATTGTCTTCATTGCCACCTGGCCACCTTTTTCCACACTTTTATATTTAGCCCTGTGTGTTACATGGTCCCTCTAAGGATTGCAATGCTAAAGACAGTTTTCCTAAAAAATAGTGTAGAAGCGTTCCCATAAAAAGCTGTGCCGATCTCAGAACCTTATTAGGCTGAGAGTTAGGAATGCTCTGCTGTAACCCTAGAAGATGTTTAAATGAATGACGTGTTTGTGATTGCCTCTCTACATCTGCATCTTGTATATGAGATGCTTTCCTGCCCATATTAGTCACAGCATTTATATATTTATGGCCTGAAAGATAAACTTCAGTAATGTTGCCAGGTTTTATTTTGCAACAATTAGGCTAGGTTAACAAATAACTGCTAAGTTGTAGTGTGTAAAAGCACACATTGTTTTGCACATTTACATGCACTGCATTAGCAACTCTTTCAAAATGAATGGACTGGCAGGAATCGAACCTGCATCTTTTTTTGACAGCGCATCACAAGGTAGCCCGTTAGTGCTTTGCAGTGTAGGGTGGCACATATTGTGGGAAGTACAGTGGCAAAATGGTTAGCACTTGTGCCTTTCAGCACTAGGGTTGTTGGTTTGAATCCCCACCATGGCACCACCTGCCTGGAGTTTCCATGTTCTCTCTGTGCTTGTGTGGGTTTCCTCTTGGTACTCTGGTATCCTCCCATCACTCCAAACACCTGCTGACAGGTTAATTGGCTCACGTCTAAATCGACCCTAGTATGTGTATGTATGAATGTGAGTTAGGATCTTACATTGTATGCATTTTGAGGGTTAGGGACTGATGTGAATGTATATATATATATATATATATATATATATATATATATATATATATATATATATATATATATATACATACAGTTGTGTTCAAAATAATAGCAGTCAGACATCACTAACCTGATCAATCACTGTTTTTGGTAGAAATGATATTTCTACATGGCAAATAATTTACTAGCAGGTGTAGTAGAGTAATAGAAATCCAACAGACCCAACAGTCATGACATGCATGCTGCTGATTCTGTGTAATTGAATCGCTAATTGAAAGGGGCATGTTCAAAATAATAGCAGTGTTGAGTTCTATTAGTGAGGTCATTCATTCTTTGAAAAACAGCTGGCAATTATTGCCCTTATTTAAGGAAGGAAGGAAGGCAGCAAATGTTGTACATGCTGGTTACAGTGCATTTCTCTCTGAAATTCTGAGGAAAATGGGTCGTTCCAGACATTGTTCAGAAGAACAGCGTAACTTGATTAAAGAGTTGATTGAAGAGGGGAAAACATATAAAGAAGTGCAGAAAATGATAGGCTGCTCAGCTAAAATGATCGCAAATGCTTTAAAATGGCAACCAAAACCTGAAAGACATGGAAGAAAGTGAAAAACTACCATTCGAATGGATAGAAGAATAGCCAAAATGGCAAGGACTCGGCCAACAATCAGCTCCAGGAAGATCAAAGAAGGTCTAAAGTTACCCGTGAGTACTGTTACAATTAGAAGACGCCTATGTGAAGCCAAGCTATCTGCAAGAAGCCCCCGCAAAGTCCCACTGTTGAAAAAAAGACATGTGCCGAAGAGATTACAATTTGCCAAAGAGCACATTGACTGGCCTAAAGAGAAATGGCCCAACATTTTGTGGACTGATGAAAGTAAGATTGTTCTTTTTGGGTCTAGTGGCCGGAGACAGTTTGTCAGTCGACCCCCAAACACTGAATTCAAGCCACAGTACACTGTGAAGACAGTGAGGCATGGTTGCGCAAGCATCATGATATGGGGATATTTCTCATACTACGGTGTTGGGCCTATTTATCGCATAGCAGGGATCATGGATGAGTTTGAATACATCAGAATACTTGAAGAGGTTATGCTGCCTTATGTTGAAGAGGAAATGCCCATGAAATGGGTGTTCCAACAAGACAATGACCCCAAACACACCAATAAACGTGCAACATCTTGGTTCCAGACCAACAAGATTGACGTTATGGAGTGGCCAGCCCAATCCCCGGATCTTAATCCAATAGAAAACTTGTGGGGTGACATCAAAAATACAGTTTCTGAGACAAAACTAAGAAATAGAGAAGAACTGTGGAATGTAGTCCAATCATCCTGGGCTGGAATACCTGTTCACAGGTGCCAGAAGTTGGTTGACTCCATGTAACACAGATGTACAGCAGTTCTCAGAAACAGTGCTTATACAACTAAATATTAATTAAGTGTTTCAAAGGAAAGCAAAATCTTCAATTTCAGTTTATATAGTGAATGTTTGAGTTTGTAAAGAAGAATACAAACACTGCTATTTTTTTGAACAGTGTAATATTCACTTTTCTTCAATTTTTTTTAGAGGAACAACACAAATTTGATATATTTTTCTTCATGTTTTGATTTGAAATAGAATGTGTAGTGTTCCCAATGCATTTGTGTGTATGGAAATAAAAGCTATTAGAAGGATTTTGAGCTTTATTCACTTTTTTCAACACACTGCTATTATTTTGAACACAACTGTGTGTGTGTGTGTGTGTGTATGTATGTATGTGTATATATATATATATATATATATATATATAAGTGTGTGTGTGTAAAGTGCTAATAAATACATGGCATGTCATGGTGCATTGGGATGTCATTCAGAATGATTGGCATCGTATTGCTTCATCACAGGTGGAGCACAGTGCCCTCTGCTTTGGGGCACTATTAAAAGCAAAAAGGATTTTTGGTAATGTTTGCACTTTTGTTTTGCCATTCTTTGTGTTTTTATTTTAGTAGAATCCCATGTATCGGGTATTAGTGAACTGTTTTCCTGCATCATATACACTATTATTATAGCGCTTTACAAAATGGAGGGAGGCAGCACAGTTACAATATAATTCAATACATGAGGGATCAGAGCACCCTGTTTGTGAGAGTTTACAATATAAATGGGTGGGGCAAGTGATGCACAAGTTAATAACTATATGGGATGAACTGATGGAGAAAGTAAAGGAAGATTTTGTTAGGATAGGTGTAACAGAGGAGACGGGTTTTCAGAGATCACCTAAAGGTGGACAGAGTAGTAGATAGTCTTGACAGATTGGGGTATGAAAAAGAGCAAAGCGTAGCAACCAATGAGAAATTATCTTTTCATGCAAACGGATGAAAAGTGAATTTCTTCTGGTATAGACTGTGCACCTTGAACATTATAATTCTCTGCTATCTCCTTATTACATAAGCCCAACTGTTTTAAGTATTAGCAGAAACAATTGAAGTACTGTCCGTGACGCAAGTGCACTAATACAATCACCTCAAGCAGGTATTAGCAGTAATCTGAATTTTCAAAAGGTGAAATGATATTCATTTTTTGCAATTTGACCTTATCTTTTTGCTTTAAAAGCCATCCCTGGGCCGGAGAGCAACAGGATATTGTGAGGGATTCACAAGTCTCTTAAGGGCTGTACATGTTTCTTGCATGGAAGTGTTGTAATTGTATCCTGTACAGAAATCGGTCTGCATGGTGTGCTCTACTGCTACTCCTGTCTGTTGGAGTTAGCGTGAGGGATTTCATTTCCCCTAGAATGGAGAGCCTGTCCTTGATTCCCTGGAGATTTGTGCTGTAGTGTCATGCCCTGACATCACTAGTTATATAACTATTCTAAGGAGACTCAGGCTTTTTTTTCCTTGATATCTAGTAAGAAAAAAATGACGCTGCCATTCAATGAGACGGGAGGTCTTTGACCCACCATATTTTATTCTGTATGAGGTTTTCCTACCTGCAGTGCTTTATGAATATATATATAGTGCGTGTGTGTGTGTACACACTATATTGCCAAAAGTATTGGGATGCCTGCCTTTCCAGGCTCGTGAACTTTACCGGTATCCCAGTCTTAGTCCGTAGGGTTCAATATTGAGTTGGCCCACCCTTTGCAGCTATAATAGCTTCAACTCTTCTGGGAAGACTGTCCACAAGGTTTAGGAGTGTGTCTATGTGAATTTTTGACCATTCTTCCAGAAGTGCATTTGTGAGGTCAGAGAGTGATGTCGGACCAGAAAGCCTGGCTTGGACCAGAAGGCCTGGCTCGCAGTCTCCGCTCTAATTCATCCTAAAGGTGTTCTACTGGGTTGAGGTCAGGAATCTGTGCAGGTCAGGAATCTGTGTAGGCCAGTCAAGGTCCTCCACCCAAAACCCACTCATCCATGTCTTTATGAGCATTGCTTTGTACACTGGTGCGCAGTCATGTTGGAACAGGAAGGGGCCAGCCCCAAACTGTTCCAACAAAGTTGGGAGAATGAAATTGTCCAAAATGTCTCGGTATGTTTAAGCCTTAAGTGTTCTCTTCACTGGAACTAAGGGGCCAAGCTCAACCCCTGAAAAACAACCCCACACCATAATTTCCCTCCACCAAACTTTACACCTGGCTCAATGCAGTCAGGCAAGTACCATTCTCCTGGCAACAGCCAAACCCAGACACATCCATCGGATTGCCAGACAGAAAAGCGTGATTCATCACTCCAGAGAACATGTCACCACT